TGTGAAAATGAAGAAATGAGTTTTGACTTGGATAGTCTTCGGAAAATCAGAAATAGAACTACCTACAAATTTTCTGTTGTAAGCAATATAATTGTGCACATGATTTGAACAGATACATATCATGAAGTCTGAAAGACACTTTTTTTTTTTTAAAGCACATCTACATAGCCTGATAAGATACCAGGGTGGAACAAATAAAAAAATACAATTCATTTTAAGAACTAGCTTCAATTGTACATACTGTACTTTAAACAAATTTCTACAGGCTCTTGAAACATCTTCAGGACATTCCTGCCAATCGACTCTAATAATCAATATAAATTAAAAACTATGAGGAAGATCACTGGTTCTGAAAATTCATTATTCTCACTGAGATCATCTGGCAATATTTAACGTATTATACTTGTTACCTTAAATATCCAGCTAAATGAATGTAAGAAGATGCCTAGTAAATAATTCTATTTTGCATGCTTGTTAATTCAGTCAAAAATTTTACTGGGTACTTAGGCAAATTTCCCTCTGCCTTTTAAAATTATTATGCTCAGTGAAGAATCAAGCAGAGTAGCATGGGATCTCGGGCTTGTTACTGTATTCTAAGAATATATACTTGAACTTGGCTGGGGCATGCCTTTAACACCATACACTGGCATCCTCTGGATTACTGGGAGTCAAAAGGTAAACATATAAAAGGTGTTCTTCACAAGGGGTTGACTAGATGGTTTTGCAGGGACCCACAAACTCTTGAAAAAGTTTTTATTAAAAAATAAATTCAATGAGCAATTGGTATATTCCAAGCAGTCTTCTAGCACTGGATACATGGTAATGAACAAGACAGTCAACCTCTGACAGTAGGGTACACTGAAGGGTCAACAAATAATTGAATGAGGTCTTTTCAAAGACGGATACACTTCTAGTGAATGACAATAAAACAGGGTGATGAGACAGAATATTAGGGAGCTACTTAGGCTATACAATGCTACCAAGTGTCCAGAGCTCAACTGTGCCTGTTCTCCAGTCCCTGAAAAGGCTGCTCCTGCCCCCCTCTCATGGCCTCTGAGGCCATAACCTCTCATTGCTGCTCGGATCTTCACACTTCTTTATAGACTACTCTACAACTCAGATCTCTTCTTCAACACTTTTTGCTCCGGTCATGGATCTCAAATTCTGAATCATGAGACTGGTTCTACAAGGTACCAATATCTGTTTTCCTTTCGTGTGAATCAACTTATTTCAGGGCATTTGGTCTAACTGTTCACCGTTCAGCTTTGTTCATTTCTTAAAACCCAGGCAGGACCTGCTTCTCAAATACTTTTTTGAGAGGAAACACTACTGGTTTTAGAAGGATGATAATCCCACCACTACAGTCAAATATGATTGCATAATTACTATATGAGAAGCAGCAAGGCCAAGCGGTTGGGACAGCAGGCTCAAGTCTACAATCGAATTAACTAGGCTCAAATACTAGCAAATTGGGAGCAAATACTTAACTCTTTTTTTTTCCTTATTAGTTCCTTTACCAATATGATGCCATTTTATTACTTTGTACTTGGTAGGATGGTTTTAAAGAGGACTGAAAAGCATTAATATGTAAAAGGCTACAACAAGGACCACAGTATGCCAGCTGCCATTGTTACAATGATTAATTATACAAAAATCTTTAATAGGATTCTTTAAACAAGAAGATTATATAAATACTATGTTTATAGGAGATAGGGTTTTTTGTTTGTTTTTGCTATGCCAGGGACAAAACCCGATGCCTCATACATGATAGGGGAACACTCTTACCTCTTGGCCACATCCCCAAGCTCAACACTAAACTCATATATGAATTAGCTACATTATTCTATCTGGTCTGAAGTGGGTTTTATTTTTAAAATTGAAACAACTCCAAATTTTGCCTGTTCAACACTATTTAACAAGCCAGCCACACTACAAAGCTTGCTGTAAAAATAGCGAAAAGATTCAGCCTGTAAAAAAATGACACTCTTCCATAAATGGAGCATTTCTCGTCACTGTTTCTTTAGGGAATAAGGGTCAGAATACAACATGAAAACATAAGACGATAAATACATTTATGACTCAAAGACCTGCAGCTACAGCTGGATACCCAGGTGGATGCTGCTTTCTGCACACTGAAGAGATTCCAATATAATCTGGCTTGATTTGAACTGAGCCAAAATCTACACTGGATATGAAGGATACATACACTCCAACTTTCTAACTGATGAGTAAATATTTTTCAATGCTTGGTAGTCCATACCAGTTAATGAACATTATCTTTCTGAGGAATATCTAAAAAAATTATAGTTTCTAGGTCATGCCTAAAACATGAGCAAAACAACCCACCCAAAATTAGGATAAAAACAACTCATGTTTATATGGCCTAAGCAGTTTCAGCAAGAAGCTAACTTTGCAGAAAACCAGGTCCATATGCTCCCCAACACACCCTGTGGTTCTCTGCTTTAAGACAGACAAGTACAGCACTACGCTGAATATGCCAGTAAGGCACCCACTTCTGAGACACCTTGGTGTGCCTCTGTGCTCCTCATTCCTTCTAAACAGAACCAAGTGTGGTTAGAACCAGAAAGGTTATTATGCTTTATACAGTGTGACTCGGTGGCCTAATGTAAGATGCCCGCCTGGCAAGAGGCTACATACAAGAATGCATGTGGTAGACCAAATCAAATCCTCTCGTTTGACATCTAGGAAGGAAAAGAAAGAAAAAGGGTAGCAAAGAGGAAGAGGAAAAGGGAAAGGAGGAGGTGAGGGAGAAGTGGAGGAGAAGGGGGGGGAGAACAGGAGACAGAGAAAGAACAGATGGACGGCAGGAAGAAGGATGGAGGTAGTGGGACCCAGAAGTCATTAATTATGAGATCTAGAATCAAACTGCTACGTTTAAATAAATCCTGTGTTCACCTTGGGTAACAGGATTAAATGAAGCATTAGCACAGAGCTTGGCATATCAGAAGATAGAGAATGGAATGCTGATCTTGGACAGCAGAATGAGAGAGAAGCAGGCAACCCAAGAAGCACAGGGGATCAGGGCTTAGCAGATCCTGAGATGCTGGGATTTCAAGCCAGTATCAAAGGCAGATGCTCAAGGACTGCCAGGGTCAGCTGCTTTCCAATCTCTGACTGCACTCCCATTGCTGAGAACGGCTGCGGAAGTGCTGAGACTTGCTCTTTATTCCTTAAATGTGGGTTCTTTCAGGGTGCAAAGAATACTAACATAGCTGTTCTAAGAATTATGTATTACAGTAGCACAACTCTAAAATGCCTACAATCAGAATCCATCCCGTGACAGTTAACTTTCAAAATGTAATATTCACACAGCACATACAAGAGAATTTTAGACCTACAGTTGAATTCAGTAACTCACATATAGAACTTTATGCTTTACAAGCTACTTCAACACTTAATCTCACTTGAATTTCCTAGCAATACTGAAAAAGTACATATATTCTCAGTGTTGCTGAAAAGCCTCAATTAATAAAAGGCACGTGCAACAGCCCCAGTATTCACTTTCCACAATTTCAGTAACAGGTCAATCTCAGTGCAAGAATACCAAGTGGAAAATTTCAGAAGTTTTTAATCGCATGCTGTTATGAGTAGAATGATAACATCTTGCTCTGCCCTGCCCAGGACATGAATCAGCCCTTTGTTCAGTGTATCCATGCTGTATTCATTACCTGCCCATGAGTCACTTAGCAGCTGTGCTAGACCAATCCTCATTTTACTGAAAAATGGCCCCAAAGAACACGAGTAATGGTAACAATTTTATTACAGTACATTGTTAAAACTGTTCGATTTTATTATTAGTTAATAATCTGTTACTGTGCCTAATTCATACTGATAATGTACGCAAAGGAAAAAACAGTATATATAGGATTGTTTGAGGCATCTACTTGCAGTATATGTCCCATTAATATCACCTTTCAATTAAGAAAAACAGTTGCATTTTAATCTATATAAGCATACCCTGAAAATCTTTTCAAAGAATCAAGAACAATCTAAAAATGTCAATTCTGGTAAGTTTGTCTTCAGTTGTATCTCACTCTAGAATTCATGTAAGCTCACTGTGTATGGGTGTGTGTTTAAAAAACAGTTTAAATCCCCTTCATTTATATACTTTGGACAAGTAGGTCTACACATTTGCCAGGTCCCCAAAGAAGTCGTACTTTTTATCTACCTTATAGCTTGTGGTACCACAAAACATGTATCGATCCTTGAAAATGATCAGCAAAGTGAATCTGAAATTTTCAATATAAACACTTAAGACTTGTGACGCTTCCACCTAGAAGGATCACTGGAAGTTACCGCGGCTGTCAAAGCTGACTTAGTGCCTGTGTTCCTACTTATTCTATGTGGTAGTTTTTGGTGAAATTGGACTCCTTGATGTTGGAGTTACACTAACTGTTTTTCACAAATGAAAGTACCAGGCAAAATTCTGGAATATTAAATATTTTTAATGGTCTCTTTCAAGAGAATATGAATACAATTAACTTTCCCAAGAATGGAATGCTAGCCCTGAGGTCTAGGGATTACCACTTTTGTAGAAAGTTTTAGCTTTACTTCAATTTTAAAATTTATCTGAAGCAGCATCTTTAGGACTGAAATCTGGACTCTGAAAAATAAATTTCCATTTCTAAATTTTTGAGCATTGAAATTTCTTAGAATGGCTCACACCTGGAGAAAAACTTAAAAGCCTGTATACACAGGTAAGAAATGCTTGTAATACACACACACACACACACACACACACACACACACACACACACACACACACACACACACACACACACACACACACACACACACACACACACACACACACACACACACACACACACACACACACACACACACACACACACACACACACACACACACACACACACACACACACACAGTGTGACCAGACCATGTCAACACTTTATCAGAAAGTAATTAACTGGAAGTTTACCTAACGTTTTGAAAGTATAGTATTTCTTAAGACATACCTTCACAGAGTCAGCAATTTCCTGTAGACCCTTAGCAGCAGCATCTTTTATGATTGGTGTAATTAAACCTTTATCTGTTGCCACAGCCACCGAAATATCAATGGAAGGCATTTGCTTTGGGCCCTGTCCATCCCAGCTTACATTAACACCTGGCATTTGCTGAAAACAGGAAAAAAATACATTATGAAAGCAGCAGCTTTACATCAAGGTGGTTACAGAAAAACAATCTGCATTATTATGCATTTTCTAAAGTGAAGATAGCTGGACAGAAGGAAACAAATATTTGATTTGAAAAAATGGCTTGGATCTGTGTTATTTATGCTTCAGAAGGATAACTAAAAAATACCAGGTTTTTTTTAAAGCAAGCTTGAGGAAACTGTCTAAAAAAAAAGGCTTCCTTTATTAAACCTAACTGCCAGAAGGTATTTAATGTTTGTTATACTTCCTGACTCATATGATGACATATGACCTTGAGGGGAAGAGGGAGCAGAAAAGAGTAATAATATGCAATCACATTCCTTTGGCATGAAGGAAGCTTGACTTTTTAAGCACAGCTCTGGAATATATATTAGTAAGCCCTCACTAAATAACTCCCTTATCAAATATTTTCCTAAGCTTCATATATGGCACACTATAATATATATGAGCGTGTATGCACTTAACAAACAACTGTATCAAAAGATGAAAAGAATTGATGAAATTATTAAATGTATTGATAATGCTGCCAGATATCACAGGACAAAATAGTGCTGAAAACAGAAATTAAAAGAAAAACCACTAACTTCACATCTCAAAAATTCTTTGCTTTCTACAGAATAAGATCTAAGCCTCCCATTACATCACTGAAACAAGGCAATGTACAATCTGATTCCGCTTAATTCATCTAATTTTACTTGCGATCACTCCCCTAAGATGATTGCTGCTTTATACCAGCTACTCACTGTCCTGCTGTTTCAGAACTGCCTTCACATCAATTTCAACTGCCCTTCTGATTTCTTCATCCTTTAAGGAGTGATCGTTCATTCATTCAACAATGCCAAAACTTCAAAAAATGTGAAGAAATAAAGTCTCAATGTCTCGGAAGATTTAAAATTCTTTAAAAAACAACAGTTAAGTAAAATAAAAATAACAGTGAGGACGAAAACTAAAAATAATCACAGATAAAGAATATCTGACAAAATAATCAAAATAATTTCATCAGAAAATTATGTATTAGAAACCTATGAATATGGTCTAAGTTGTATTAAAAGGAAAACGTTATAAACCTTATTTATAAAAATAATTTAAATAACATATATTCAAATTTTCTAACAAAATATTTCTAACCAAAATGAACTCAAAGAAATAAAGAAATATATAATAAAACAAAATATTCTGTGAGAACACAGATATGCAGTAATAGAAGCAAGACAGAGTTTAGAATAATTCTAGAGAGTGAGAACACTAAAAGAATTATAAGAAAAAATATAAATACTTTAGGGAATCTAGATGAAATAGGTCATTTTCTGGCAAATATAGGCCTCCACAATTAAGAAAAATCTGAAAATTAAATAGATCAATAGTTACAGGAAGGATGGGAAATGTACTAAGATCCCCTCCTCAAAACAGAAATCTAGGCTTAGATAATTTACTGGTAAACTCTATAAAACTTTAAGAAATAAAAATCCTTAAAGTAATTGAAATAAGCACAGATAAAGGAAAAGCAACAAGAACCCAAATGTATTTAATAAAGCCAGTTTTAAAACAAAACAAGAGCTGGCTAGCATGAAATTTAAATTACAATTATTTATGGTCCCTAATACAAATTATACAGTGAAATATAGCTAATGACCTCTAGGGATTCATTTAAAGAATACAAAAATGATTCTAAATTAGAAAATCATTAACACAACTCAAAACATTTGGTTAAGAGAAAAGCCAAATGAAGATACACACTGAAAACACATGGCTTTCAAATTTTCAATTTTCTTAAGAAATAAAAATGAATTCATTATAGACATACTGTAAATCCAATAATAAGCAGGCAGCAATCGAGAAAACAGGCTTATTACAGAAAGAGGGCAGGAGAGGGAAGGCAGACGTCTAAGTGGCAAATTTACACCCACCAGACACTTCCACTTCACCTGTCCTCCTGCTGTCTACACTGGGAATCTAGTAGGCTCCTCAAAGGCAACATGTCCAATACCAAACTCGAGATCCCCCACCTTAAAGCTGTTCCTCTCCCAGTTTTCCCAATCTTAGTACATGGAAAAATTCACTCTTCTCACGGTGTGGGCCCAAGTCCTTATTTTTTTTCTATGAATGCCCAGACAAAATCCACTAGCCAATCCTACTTGCCGTGCCTGAAATGTAACTAAAAACTTCACTTAACCCTAGCCCCACTGCTAACCGCTTGGTCAACTTCTGCCGCCTGCTAGGAGAGGTTATGCTTCTCTATCCTGGCCTCTCCACACAGCAATCAGAGCAGTCTCTTCCTTTGCTTTCTAAAGTAAGTCAGGTCACATTAGTCCTTTGCTCAAAACTTTATGAAAGGCTTCCTAAATCATTATCATAAAATCCTAGTCCTCACCAGGGACAACAAGACTTCATGGACTTGTTCCCCTTCCAATCCTCCCCTTTTCATTCATTTTTTTAAAAAAGTTTCAATCCTTCTCCTCCTCCACTCTATGCATACTACGCCCTCAGTGCTGTGTCTCTGGGTAGCATGATACATTCCTCACATGATATACTCCCCTGTGTTTGCTGGTCCCTCTGTCTAGTATGCTCTTGTATCAAATATCTATTTGACTCATTTTCTTTTAGTCTGTCTCTACTATCACCTTATTGGAGTGGCCTCCCTTAATTTTCAAAAACTGTACTCCTAGTTATTTGGGGTCCTGTTACCCAGATGTGCCCCCAAAGCCTCATACATTCACAGGTGAGGCTTTCTGAAACAGGGGATCTAGGGTATGTGAATACGGACTAAAGCTGTGTGATAACTAAATTACTCCACTGGCTGGTTGAGCGTAGCTTTGGGTGTGGGTGGCATCATCCAAAAGTCTTACAGCCTGGATGAGATAAAAGCAAACGGGAGGCTTGCTGCTGTTGCTTTGCGGCTTCACTTCCCTGCCTCCTGCCTGCTCCGCCATGGACTGTTTGTCTTCTGTGATGTCCCTCTGCTATGCTGTGCTGCCACGGAGCCAGTCGACTACGGACTGAAACCTCTCTACCTTGTGGGCTGGAATAAACTTTTCCTCCTTTAACTTTGGGTGCCAGGTATTTTGTCTCAGCAATGAAAATGTAAGTAAGACAGACAGCCCCTTATTCTGCTTTCTTTTTCTCCTCAGCACCTTCATCATCTGACACATTGTTTCCTCTAATAAAAATATAAACCCCATTCCTCTACTTCCGTATCTCTTCATACACTAGCACAAGATAGGGATCAGTTAGTATTTGTTGAATAGTCTTTATATTGTTATAGTTCATCTGGGAGCCCTTTCAATCTCAGGTTCTTCATCTGTAAAACAAGGCAGTAAGATGAAATGACAGGATATTTTAAACAAAATTATGAAATTTTTGTAACTTAAAAATAAGAGTATCATTTATTATAAAAATTCCAAGGCACAAGACTTTTAGGAGCCAAAAACATCTGGCATTGGCCACTTACTTTAAGAGTAACAGCTGCTGCCTTGATGATAAAATCATTTACTGACACTTTAATGTCATCTGAAAAAAATAAACACACTAAAATCAGTATTAATAGTAAAATTATAACAGTGTTATGATTTCAAACTTGCAGATTATGGAATGTACTGACAAATAATAATGAAAAAATATTACAGATTTTTATTTACTTGCTTAGGCAATATGGTTCCTCTGATTAGAAAATTTGCATTATATGAGGTCCTGGTTACACAGCTGATCATAACTTGATTTATCCCTTTGCTTTTGCCAATGGGTATGAGGGTGTTTGGAAAACGTTAACCAAATTTGATTATTTCTTGCAAGAGCTTATAGAAAAAGACTTAAAAGTCAAGATCTAGTCAATAGTATGTGGCAAGAAACGCATACTCTGTTACTATGGAATCACGGTATTTTACATGAACAATAGCTCATTCCAAAAATATGCTGGAGATTTTAGAAAAAGATTAGATGAATTACCTGCCATAAACCTTAACTACTGCCAAAATGTCACAGTAAATGTTGGCTGCAGACTATCACAGCTCTTCTAATTCTGATATCCAGAAATACATGAACATTCTGGTTTATTTGCTTAATACTCTTTTGGGAATACAAATATAAATGGATTTCCAGTATTTGGAGACTTCTTATGACAACTATATATAAAAGATTCGGTCTGCCCAAATTCAAACAGGTGGGCATATTTTAAGGACACATTCTGCTTACCGCACATAGCTCTCAGCCCCTTTTCACTTCACCCCCTATTCGTAGATACACAGAGTGAAGACCCATAGCCACCTACCAGCTAATGACTTCCAAACCAATAGCCCAAGTCCTCACGGAGCATTCTGTCTTCATGGCATTCCAACACTCAGAAGTGCTTCTCAACTGATCACTTTCTTTGCTTTGAGACACTTTCACTTACTGGAGCTATGCCAATATACTCTCCTGCTTTCTTCTGCTCTGTCTGCTCACTTTCAGTCCTCTCCATTCAATGTTGGCATCTCCCAGAGAGGAACTCTTGAGTTCCATGAATTGGTTACCACTTATATTATTCAACTTCTCACACAACATTTTTCCTACATGGTTAACACGCATCTCAATTCTAACATATATAAAGAAGGCTTCTTCTTAAGTTCCTCTACTTTTAATTCTTTATTTTGGATTTTCAAACATTAATGACACTAAGAAGTTATTTATAAGGGAACATCAAACATATTCATTTTTACATTATGTTACAAAAACTGCGGAACACAAGCTTACAAAATATCATACATTTTAACTTTAGATAAGAAAAATGAATGGAAAAAATATGACAAAATGAAAAATGGAAATAAGAGTGTTTGTAAATGGGGAGGGAGGAGGGAGGGGGTGAAGGAAGCACACGGACAAGGAGAAAAAAAATAAGAACCAAGACCTGTCATGTAAAGGTACAAGATCCCAATGATGAATATAACTGCACTGTATAGCTAAAATGTACCAATAAACTCAATGAGAAAAAAAATACAGAAATTGCAGAGTTGGATTTTCTTTCTTTCTTTCTTTCTTTCTTTCTTTCTTTCTTTCTTTCTTTCTTTCTTTTTTTTTTTTTTTAAAAACCAACCCAACTATGGTCAGAACTTGAATCTTGTCACTAATTCCTTCAGGAAATCATGATAAGCACCCAAACTGATGAGTACTAAATTAGTTTTACCCATAAAAATAAACAAAAAATATCTTTCAAAGTTCTGACAAATAATAATGACATTTTAAAATGCTAATATTAGCCTTTTACTGGGTTAAATACAAGCCTTTCAGGATTTGTGGTATTACTCTTAATCTTTTTGTGACCCATGATTAACATAAAAATGGTCAAAAGTATGAGATGGTAATGATGGGTGCGTGGGGTCTGCACTGTTTCTGAGGTACAGTGAGATGGATGCCAGCGACTTTTCTCATCAAAATGCAATGAGTACAGTGGTAGGAGTGCATGTACTATCTGTAAGAAGCCTATTTAAATATAAGCATTTTAAAAGCACATTAAAAGTAAAATGATATCCATCAAAATTACAAATCAAAGTAATCTGGGCTTCCTAAAAACAAAGGCAAAGGCAGAAAGTGGTGAAAACAAAATTCATAAAAAGAGTAGAAAAAGGTAATAAAACCAAATACTAGTTCTGTGAATAAGTTAATAAAAAGATAAGCATCTAATCTGATTGATCAAGAAAGGGAAGACTCAAATTACTAATATGAAAAATGGGACATTACTTCAGCATAAAAGTGCTAAGAGTATAGTAAGATACGCTAATAAATATGGTAGCTCATATAAATGATATAAACACATTTCCTAAAAGACACTATAAAAATCTGATTCCAAAATACAACAACAAAAAAATCCTCTTAACAACTGAATATGTAGTTAGAGATCTCACAATAAAGAAAATTCCAGGCCTAGACAACTTCCTAGGTGAATTCTACCAACCAATTTAAAATGAAATAATATCAATTCTATCAAAACTTTTCCAAAAAGTAAAAAGAGAAAACATTTCCCAATCAGTTCTAAAAGACTGGATAATACACCCAGAAAAAAAAAAAATCTCAAGAAAAGAGAAAAAAGACCACTGTTTTTTATAAGCATAGGTGAAAAGATTAACAAAATTTTAGGCAATAGAATGAAACAATAATTGACTAGGTTAATGGTTAACTGACTAAACATTTGAAGTTAAATTGATGTTACTATATTAAATTGAAAAAAAAATAGAAAAGATTATCTCAGAAGATGAACAAAAACATTTGAGAAAAATTCTACATTCATTCATTCTAAAACTTGAGAAAACAGGAATGGGAATTTCCTCAACCTGAAAAGGAGACTCTGATAAACACCTCCCAATAAGGTTACAGACTGAATGTTTTCCCCCAAATCAAGAAGTCAAGAATGACTGTACGTTTCACTTATATTCATCAATGTACAAAGGCCCTCACCAGTGCAATAAAGCAGATTGGAAAGATAAAAATAAAAGCTTCGTGCTAAAAGTCCTAATGTCTCTCAGCACCTTTTATTTGGGGGGAGGAATATTACAAATTTAATGTGAAAAATGCATTTTGAAGAAATATATAATTAAAACTTACATAAATAGAGAATAATATTTAATATAGTATTATAACAAAACATTCTTAAATTAGTTTTGGATTTCAAACTTGCTAAATATTAAGGACTGTTTTGTTCAGATATAATACCACAAAGTATTCAAAATCAACAACCATTCAGCCTAAGCAGTGACTCATGTATCCTTACAAAACAGTTCACATTGTGAAGTTAAAGCAAACCAAAAAATTAAGCCTATTTTTGCTTAGAACAACAACCACCACCAAGTATTTGTAAAACTCAATGTGTGGCAGAGTTAGACTCAGTATTTGATTGCCGAATCAATGTTAACTAAATGCAAATTATTAAATATCACAAGAGAGATCATGGAATAAAAACAAAGCAGAACAGAAATCTCTATTCTACATAAAGGTAATACACATCTGTGATTTATATAACACTATGGAACCAATTTATTTCCTATAGGAAAGCAGAATCAATACTTTGTTTCTAGTATTAAAACATACATAAAGAGAAATGAATTATAAAAATGAAATTAAGAGCTACACAATGTGCATTTTATAAATAAAGGACTTCATGACAGTTCACCTATGTACATGAAGGAAACTCAACTTTACTAACCTCTGACCAGATCTTGTCTAACTTTTAAAACTGCACCAACATCACAGTTAGCTGTAGCATAAGCGTGAGGTATAGTACTTTTAGATTCTGTTAACCTCTTGGCAATAACTCTTCGAATATTGCTAGCAGGGATTTCAGTGAATGTGCCCTACAAAAAACCAAACAAAAACACAGCAGTTTGTCCATTAAAACTTAAAGTGAATAGAGACAATAAACAAAACAACTTCCTAGCTCAAATTCAGTCTGTGACTTAAAAGATCAATACGGGAAAAGTACTATTAAGAATTATTTGTATTAATGGGGGAATATAAGAGATCTGAGAAGCTTTTGGCTTTAGCATGCAGAGTGATACCTTGGTTTACAAACGGAAGTGTTTGGCAAAATTTTGTATTTGCATCAGGTGATGGACACAATTGTGACTATCTTTCCTGCACAAGTATAAGCATGTTCAAATTTAAAATTCACATTTCCATTGTAAATGGAACATGTTACTATATTTAAAATAATTTAAAAAATATATCTACCAAATCATGATTCATTCCTCCGCAAATGTTTGAGTACGTGTATATACATTTACACACCCTATATGTATACTACATATACACATTCACAACACAAAACAGACACAAAAAGTGACACACACATATATATGCCCTGTAAGCATCTTTTGTTACAAACATCACTTAAAAGAACTCAAAGCACCTAATAAGATAAGTAACTACAGACTATTATTATAAAAATAGAGTACAAAAAGATAATCCAATGTAATGGATAATGTGCCAAATTACCTCTATTTTGGTCTGTAATTTGAAAAAAATCACAAGTACCTTATTCCTTAGAAATTCAAAACATAAAGTACAAATGAAAGAATATCTTCCTGCAAGTTTACTGAAGGCTATTCCATTTTATTCCTTGACCCTCTCTCTCATAACAACACGATAGACTTTAAATTCCATTTAGTTTCTTCATTCTTCTTCACTTCACTTTGGGAGAGGACTATAATCAGCTAAGAATAGTATAAAGCAGCCGAAAAATAGCTCATTTCTTTATTTTTTAAGCAAATGATCTCTTATATTAGCAAAGTGTTCAATCAAATAGAATAAACCCTTTATATACTGTATTAGAATTTGAAAGTAAGGTTTACCCTCCTAATCTGAATAACCTACTTTTTAAAGAAAGATCTGCCTACACATAAAGGTTTCGCAGTTATGTCATTAATGTACATTAAAAATTGCTTCCTAGGAAACTTGTAACTGTTTCATTCTGTTTTCAACTATTATTCTTTTCAATTATTATAATGAAATGTATTTCTCCAGTAGTTAGGTACAAGGTACTTTATTTCTTTTTATTTTTACGTGCCTATTTATTATTAAATAAACCTGACTCCCTTGCATTCTCTTGCATATGAAGTACAAGTGATGTGAGAGGTACTAGGAAAGAGACATAGAGAGGAAAAGTGGAATAATTTGAAAACAAAAAATAGCTGTAACACTACACACAGCTAAGAAGGAAAGCATCAAGTCCAAGTAGCTCTTCACACTGTGATTCTCAATCCCCGAGTCAAAGAATAAAACATATCTACAAAAAGGAGCTAGTGTTGCCTCTTGGTGTACGTACAAGGGAAAAAAGATGTGAAAATGTCATGATTACAGAGACATGGGGTACTCAGACTGTGGACCCTGTGGCACATTTCAAATTGTGTCATAATTTCTCCTCGGAAGTCAAGGCTATATAAATGAATAGGTTTGTGCTAGGAAATCTGCAAAAAAAGCATCTAAAGAATTGTTTTTGGTAAATGTATAAACTACTACTAAAATGGATTGATAAAATTATCTGTAAAACACACAGTAATCGTTTTTATTTTCTTTCTTACTGATCTGAAAAATAAACATCTTACTCAGAGGACATTACCACAGCATTAGGCTGGCCAGGAGTCGATACTGCTGGGATCATCGGACGTGGATAAGACGGCCCGGTGGTGACCTGTGGGGGTACAGATGCTGTGGGAGTGGGGGCAGGCGCTGGGGCTGGTCTGGATTCAGTAATTTTGCCTGTCTGTTTCGATTTGACCAGGTTGAGAGCATCTCTGGAGACAAGAGGAAATTTGATAACGGTGGTTAGCAACAAGGATAGAACGCAGCCTTTAGAAAACAGAGGCAAGATGTGAAGGGAAGATATAGTTTCAAAGCATATAACGCATAATCACTTATTTGAACTAGAAAAGGAAATCCTTTCCTACATGGTCTGCTAATTCTCATTACTTATCCAATGGCTATGTGTACATTTTTAATAACTAAATCATAGTCAGAATTTTATCAAAGTCCTGGGTAGAGACAGTAATTTTTAAAAAGCAAATTGGTCTTTTTATTGGGAGTTGAGTGTCACTTGATAAGAACAATTCACTACATAAAACATGCTTTCATTCTTTATACTTGTAAAATAATTTTTACATAGCATTTGGAAAGTGTAAAGTTCATTTTACCAAAGCTTTCATTAAGCTACTTACTAAAGCAGTATTTATTCTAGTGCAAATGAGCTTTTTTATGGCTAGAAATTCACATCACTCTTAATTTGCTCAATGTGCAATCAGCACAACCTACAATTAAAAAAAAAAAAAAAAAAACCTAACTACAGCATCACTTAGAATGAAATATAGCTGGTTACAGACTATTACTTCAAAAAACAAAATTATCTTTGTTTTTTAAAAAGTATAATTATACTGCAACATATGTCAAGTTTTTGATTCATTGTACAAGTTACAGTGGGTAAAAGGAATGCATTTCCTTAAACAGCTTTTTGGAAAAAACAATATATATATTTGGTTTTGAGCCAGGGTCTTGCTATGTAGTTCAGACTGGCCTTGAACTTCCAGGCTAGCTTCAAACTCATAGTGATCCTCCTGCCTCAGCCTCCTGAATGCTGAGATTAAGGTTGTGTACCACCATGTTCAGCTAGAAAACTTTTAAAAATTCCATTTTGTATAATCTAGAAAAAAAAACTTCAGGGCAACACTAATTTAAAGACAACTTATAGTTTAAAAATTTTCTCAAAATACAGTTAATATTTTAGTATTATTCTGATTTTGGCATCACCAAATCAAAACCACAAAGGGAAAAATTTAGCATCCATTGAGCATATTTGAGATGGCAATTATTCTCCCCTAAAAAACAATCTCTTATTTAATGTCTTACACTAACATCACAGGCAGACTTCTGAAATGGCTCCAGTATTGTTATGCTGTATCAATGATGGCAAACCTTTTAGAGATTTCAATGATTACAAACAGCCCACTGCAGCATGTATGCATGAATGGCATAGGTTCGCCACCACTGTCCTCTATAATCCCTGTAGCCTGTGGGTGGGTCTGTGAACATGACAGAGGTCACCGCCATGATTAGGTTACGTTATGTGACAAAGTTGATGGGATTCTACATATGTGACTAAGGTTCTGAGTCAGGTGATTTAGAGTTAATCAAGAGGCAAATTATTCTGCAAGAGCTAGGCATGACAAGGAAAAAGGTATGGGCCCCCTGAAAGAAGAGCTGTGCTGGCCTTGAAGCAAACAGTTACAGTGAGAACTGCCTACAGCCACAAGGGCAGGATCCAGATGAAGGTGACCCCTGGGAGGGAAGAGCGGTACCTGACTGACAGTTAGTAAGGAACTAGGGGGTGAAGTCCAATAGCGCTAAACTGGAAGAGGACCTCAACTTTCACAATGAGACTCCTCACTGGGCGATACCAGGATTTTAGCCCTGTGAGACTATGAGCCATGCTGTGCCCAGACTTCTAACCTGCAGAACTGTTAGGTAACAGGTGCTCAAGCTGTCAAGTTTGTTGAAACTTGTTATCCACAATAAAAATGTAACATAGGCAAGACTGTTCTAACCTGGGGTACACCACTAAAGATACCTCAATGAGTACTGACACATTTGTCAGGGAAGAGGGACTCAGAAAGGGATATATGAACCTCGAATGAAGTGCAACTAACTTATTTCAAAACTAAAGAACTAACATTTAGATGACAGCAAATGTAAAATTCTACATCATAGTGCATTCCTAATCATGCATCAAGTAAGTGCTTGCAATCTTAATTTACAGATGAGCAGGCTCACAATGGTTAAAATGTGTGTCTAAGCCAGTATTCCTCAAGCAACTACTCTATACTGGATGTCAGGGGATGCCAGGTTAAAAAGGATACTTCCCATCATATTATCATGTATTGTACATCATTACATATACATATCATGACATAAATCAATGATAACGCTGCATCTGAAATAAAGAAAATAAAGCAGAATGAGGTAAAGAGGAATGGGTCAGAAACAGGGTTACTTTCCAATCAGATGGTTAGAGAAGGACTGAAGAGATATTTGTGAAGAATGATAGAAAGGAGCAAGGTCAAGAGCCGGGACAAGTACGTTTCCAGGCAGAGGGAAGAACAGAGGGAAGGACAGCGTGGACGGAATACGTGAACAAAATGGAGAGTTAAAACAAAAAGCTGGAGAGGTAAGCAGCTAATAGCTGCCACAGGGGGTTTCAAACTCCATAGCCAACCCAAAGCCTGCAGTTTCTATGCCTTTCTACATCTGTGATGAACAGCGCCCCCTGGAATAGAATAAAGCCAAATGTAGGAACTCCCAACAAAGGACTCTGACCCATCACATAAAAAGTAACAGGAACATACTGGTGGCAATGCTGGTTCTCAAAGGTAAGCCACAACCCGGCCATGGTGACAGGAAGACTCAGGGAATGTGGAAGGTACGTGTCCTAAGAAAGCATCTTACCCATCTGTATGGCTTTTGAAAAACTTCCATTCAGAAACAATTTTAACTCTATTTATGACATTTATACTCAAAAGCACTGTTTTCCAGTTAACTGTGATTATACTTACATGACTGCCAATATAATTCCCAGAGACCTACGTCATGAGCCAAAATCCTAGCCAGACAGAAAAAGTGCCTGCACTGATTCAGAAAAATGCCTCCAACAGAAAAAATTTAGCTTTGAAAGTTCTTATATGTCACAACCTAACTATCAGTCCCTTCCATTTTATGTAACACAATTAAATATATCTCTCTGACAAACTGTACTTCTGTTCTGGGTTTTAAATAAATTAAAATTTAATGCCAAAATGGCAAATCCAAAATACATTAACTTCCTTATATAAAGATCACCAGTTATTCTCAAGTCAATAAAAAAGCAAACATGCAACACAAGAAGGCTAAAAATCTATTTTTAATACCTAAATATATCTATTTAAAATAAGGTTAGTGACAGTAACTAGACATTTTTTTCCCACTATCAGCCTAATGATCACCTATTTTATCAAAAAAAGCTAGATTACTTTTATTATCCCTGTGGCAATTATGATCCATAGGTAAAGTGGTACTTGGTGAAGAATAAAAATAAACAGGAGTCATTAATTGTAAATAAGCACATAGCAAAAGCACTGCTTCACAGTAAACTTTGCTGATTTTATAATTAATTACCTCATGAAGTATAAATGCTATTATCTAGTAATAGTCAACAATTTATTTTCTATAATGCAGAAATGGTTTTAATAATTTTCATGGGTTAAATAATTATATTAAACTTAGGAATTAAGTAGGCATGAAGAGCTATAAAAATTAGGGAGAAAAACAAATATGATCCCATATACACCTGCAAAAAGGCAGGGGATGCTCTGGGAAGTCACTGAGGAAATTCACTTCTCTATCGCGATCTCCCACAAAGCAACTCATTTGGGTGAGTTAATTTTTAAAAAATTGACAAAAGCCTGTCATACCAGATCTTGGAGGCTGTGATGTGAATATAAACAGTAATTCCCATCATGATTTAAGAATCAGATAAACCGAAGACAGTGAGCTGCAGGCAAAGAACCTATGTGTGTTCTGCCTCTGACTGTGGCTTGGCATTTGCTCTCATTTTATATATGTATATGTATATGTATATGTGTATGTGTATATATATATATATTTTTTTTTCTTTTCTTTTCTTTTTTTTTTTTTTCTGTACCGGGGATCAAACTCAGGTCCTTGCACTTGTGAAGCAGGCAGCGGAATCACTGAGCTAAATCCCTGGCACTCCTTTCATATTTTAATGGTCACTTGGTGGCATCTTCCTGAATCAGTGCTGATGCTTTGCACAACACATATTCTAAGGGATGCGTCTGAATGCAAAACTGAAACAGCAGCTCTGACACCCAAGGTTTTCTTCACAAATATACTGTGTCAGACATGGATCTTCGGCAGTTGGAACTGACTGTTTGTGCTCTACTTGTACTTGCAGCTGACCGGATATGGAGGAAAACTACCCTTTACCATTTCCAGAAAGTGTGCTAAGGTATTTTGGGGGGCAGCTTATTGGCAAAGCCTACAATTTTTCAAACAGATCAGAGGATGACTTTTCTATAGATAACATCAGGCCAAAATATTTTCTAAAACTCACCTTAAAAACACAGGTAACTGTTATCTTTAGTACCACAGAAAGGAAAAATTCTCACTAATGTATGCTTTAGGGATCTATTTTTCTTGTGAAATCTTTTGTGATATTTTTGTATTTTGAAGATTAAATATTAATGTCCTGATGGTGAGGAGTTAAGGAATAAGGGCAGGGGAGAGAGCTGGGAAAGTGCAAGAGAAGACGGCAGAAATATTAAAATCTTAACTCTAATACTGCTTCCTTAGGGCACCCAGAAGATAATACTGCACAGTATTAAGAAATGCTACAGTAACCGGGGATTTAGCTCAGTGGTTCCACTGATACATTAACGATTTTCAACTCAAGTTTTTAAAAAAGAGATATTTGTACATCATATATGTATCAAGCACATATGGAAAAAGAAAGGAAGAGGCCTTATTTCTTTATTCCACTGCTGTCACGTTACTGAACTGTCTTCCAAATGGTCACCTAATCACCAAATTCAAAGGCTCAGATCCCATCTTCCGACTTTTACCCATCTCCCAATTTAACCTTCTAAAGAGTGACTATGGCTGATCTCAGTTACACTGCTTTATCATCTACCATGCCTACTTTTCTAGTTCCAAACTGACTCCTGTGATGCCTTTCACTTCCCTGACCCTAATCCCTCGAGGGATTCTAAAAGCTTACAATAAGCTTCAAGCATAACTTACTCCAAGAAAAATGCTTCCCTGAAACTGTTACTTCAGTTTCTGGAGCCAACATTTTCATCATACAGACAAGAACTGCAAAGTCATTCCTTGACTATCGTCCTCCTGGCCTACATTCTACGTTTGACTGTTTACAAAGGTTTCTGGATTCTATTCTCATGGTGTCTGTATCAGAATCTGCCTTTCACTTCTTCTACACACACGAAGTATAGTATTCATTATCTCTTAAATTAGATTACTTTATGAGCCTAGTAAATTACTTCCTTACCATAAGTAGTTTTGTTTCAATTTCTTACACAAATTTGAAAAACTGATCCTTCTAAGCACAGTTATGATTATTTTATACTTTACCAAATCTTTAATGATTAATGAATTAAATGTAGACTCATCTGGTTCCTTAGAATTACAGGCAAGGCAAGCCTACCACTGCTGCAGAATTCCACTAAGGCATATATTGGTAAATGATTCACAAAATGAAGGAATCAATTATAGGCACTAAAGGATCCCTGCCATGGGGAAAGAAACTAGCCCTGACTGGCTGTCAGGATTCTTAATTTTAGCTTTGCATGGGTAAGCGAACCTTTAAATCCTCTAACTAAAAGCCCATGGTTTAGGATGTTCTTTCAGTAGCTTTCGGGATAGCTGATTTCTAATGTATGAAGTATGGTACAAACTGTCCAGTGTGTATGTAATGGAAATACAAAATACAACTTATACAAATTCTGGCCATTATCACTATTTCTTAGCAATATTGGTCAAACATTGAATGAATATATTGGGAAACACTAATTCAGTCTGAGACATTTAATATGATTGTCAGCAGAAACGTACCACACATTACTATGGTGGTTTTACATTTGTTCATAAGCCTATCTGATTATTCTTTTTTTCTCCCTTAGACTAAGTCCCAATGGAGAAGAGGCCATCTATTTTAATATATTATTAAAAGACTGAAAAATGTAGACAAATGGAAAGATATACCCATTTCTTGAAACAGAAGGACTCGTTACCATGAAGATGTCAGTAGTTACAATGATAATCAAATACAATCCCATAAAAAGTTCTTCCCACTGCTACCAGAGGAGCCCGAAGATTTGCTTAAAATTCATTTGGAGATATAAAATAAGAACACACCAGTAAATCTAGTTTATGGAAAAAGAAGAGCAATGGAAAGAAATCTGATAACTCTAACAAGTTTTAAAGTATACTATAAAACATTTATAATTAAAAGTGTGGTACTTATAAAAAAAGGTACTAACTCATGGAGAAACTGATCAATGGACTAGAAAAGAAATCCACAAAGAGAAGGACGGAGAAATTACTCTGAAACAAATGAATAAAATCCAAATAGATAAGAAGTATATTATTTAAAAATATATATATTTTCATGTTTTAGAAATTTCAACGTAATTGGGTGATGACTTCATACAAACTTGAAGCAATATAAAGTTTCACTGTTTTGTACTCTAATTTTCTGAACTTATTACCATTTCTAAGGGTCTGACTTAGTTACATACAAAATTAGAAATGTTCTTTAATACTGCTGCAATTATTCAGAAAACAACCCTGGCACAGAATACAATTTACACTGACAAAAGCAATTAAAAGCACAAAACAACAATGTATTTCCTTTTAAACCTAAACACTGAATAAGCTCTTTTTAAATTCTTTTAGAAAAAAGATAAATAACCCAATTGATTATTACAAAAAGCACACACATACTCTTTAGTGAATATCCCCCGAGGGCCGGTGGCTGTGCCCTGGCTGGCATCCAGCGCGTGCTTCTCCAGAATATTGCGCGCAGCTGGACTTAAACGGAACCTAAGAAGAAAACATGAAGCTTAATGGAACTAATTAGCATTTACATTGATTCAAGCAGATCTAAATGTCAACAGTTTGGGAAACACTTAGAAATTTAAAATACTGAAACTAAAATGACTCCCATAGATGGTCACAGTCAAATAAATTAATATGCACTGCTCAATTTTCTTTTACTTTCAAACATTTTCATAAAAATTAACTAGTTATGTCAAAATATTCTTTTAGTAAGAGTATTCATTAGCAAATTATATTTCGATGGGTCATCATAATACATCAATAAGGAACTTAACTATGTTTATATATTTTTATTTTGATAAACTATACAGAAATCTTTAAATTTTAGGCACTTTAATGGATACGGTTCAGCAGCATTAAGTACAATCATTGTTGTGCAACTATCACCATCCATCTCCAAAAGTTCTCATTTTTCCACTGAAAGTGTGCATCCATTAAATGAGGACTTCCCATTCCTCCTTGTTCCCAGTCCCTTTTTATTCTGTCTCTGCTAAATGATTACATATTTCATATTTTGTGTAAGTAGAATTACACAATGGATGTACTTTTCTGACTGGCTTAATTCTGCTCAGCATACATATCTTCAAGGTTTATTCGTCCTGTAGCATGTACCAGAACGTCCTTTCTATTGAGGCTGAAAACATTTCAGGGTATGCACATAGGACTGTGGACACGAGTTGTTCCCACCATTTTGCTATTATGTATAATGTTGTGAATAGTGAACAGATAATAAATACTGAATGTCTGCTTTTAATTCTTTTGAATACATACACACACACGTGTGTGTGTGTGTGTGTGTGTGTGTGTTTGTGTATTTTCACAAGTAGAACTGCTGGATGATATGGTAATTCTTAAGAAATGTTATACTGTTCTCCACTGCAGCTGTACCATTTTACATTCTCACCAGCAATGCAGAGTTTCAGTTTCTCCATAGACTCACCACCATCTGCTATATTCTGAGGTTTTTCATTTTTGTTGTTTTTTAACAGCCATCCTAATAGGTTTGTAGTGGTATCTCGTAAGGATTCTGATTTGTACTTCCCTAATGATTAATGATAATGGAGTATTTCATGTGCATACTAGCCATTTCTTTATCTTCTTGGGAGAAATGTCTAAATACAATTTTTAGTTCTTTCAAGAGAAACTCCAATTTTTATATAAGATTAGTAAAAAACCAATTCAAAACTTTTTATTTTTTAAAAATCACTGTGTGGACCAACAATGGTCACATTCACAGGTCGGTCAGTTTTTAGCCCACATAGTATGACTGCAGATTGATCTCAAATTAAGAGCATACAGTTACCTTTGCAAGAAGACAATTCGGTATCATTAAGTAAAACACACCGATAAGATTATCTCTAATTTTCATGGTAAATGAAAGAAGAGAAATAAAAGGAAGCCAGGGATTTAGCTCAGTGGTTCGCTGCCTTGCAAGCGCAAGGACCTGAGTTCAATCCCCGGTACCAAAAAAAAAAAAAGAGAAAGAGAAATAAAAGGAGTCAGAGCAGGGGAGTCTTACTTTCTGTCTCTAAATGATTATGTTATACCTCATAAATATGTACAAATACTATAAATTGAATAAAAATAACAATCAAAAAAGCTCCCAAATCAACACTTCAGAAAACACTGTGAATTTTTTTCTGACCAGAGCTGACACTGATAACTGAAGAAAAAAATAGATAAAACTAAACCAAACTAAAGAAAAAAATAAATGAAAAGCTCTGCATTTTTTAAGTTGAAAAGCAGTTCTCTAGGACAAATTTCTTAACGTAAGGTAATTCTATATAATTGTTGAGAATATTAAATAAGTGAAACTTGTTAGAATTTGCAGAGCTCAATTAAAGCTATGTAAAGTAAAACGTTTACTACATATCAATTTTATTATAGAACAAGTGAGTTCTCATCTGTGAGAAGCTCAAATGCAAAACAGTTTGAAAAGGAATACATGTTAAACTGGTAATTTCATTTTGTCGGTTATAGGTGACACCAAAATTCACATAATGTAATTAGAAGTCCATGAATGGGAACACAGTAAGGAAGGCTGGTATACTGAATGCCATTCTGGAATTGTAAAACCTAACTCAAGCTCAATGTAAACACAGACTGTTTTGTTCTCCTCTAAGGAAGCAAGGCTTTCAGGGTATCTGGAACACAGCAGGTATTCAAATAACTGTTTACTGAATGAACAATGATAGCAACTAATCACTCCCAGATCTCAGGGTCCTAAGAGAAAAAAAGGGAAGAAGAGCAACTTCCTACTTAATGTAAAAAGATGCTCTGAATATAATAATGACTAAAAACCCCAAGAACAGCCACACCGATATTCTTACATTAGTATTTAAATAAACACACTCACTGCAGTGTACCCGGTGTCTGTCCCTTCTTCACAGACACAGGAATCTGTGGTTCTGGTGAGGGGCCAGGCTCTGATGGTTTTGCAACTGGTGGTGGAGGACCTACATCTTTGGGAATTTCAACATGCTTCCAATCTTTTCCTTCTTCAACCATCAAACCGATTAGTGAACCTAGTCGAATATTTTTAGTTCCTTCTTCAACCTGTACTTAAAAAGAAAACAATTGTGGAGATGGAAAGCTTCATGACTGAATGAAGTAGTTTATTTCTTAGGCAGATACTTTTGTACTGGCTAGGACGATCTCTTAAATGTGAACTAAAAGCTGCTTTCAGGACAACTTGCCTCCACCTTTAATCTGGCTTCCTTTCCTACCTTCTCCCACATACCCTTCTTACCACTCTTTCTCATGCTACCTCTTGAAAGGAAATCTAGAATCGCTTTTTCTGGCAGCTTTCAAATATGTATGAACTATTGTTGCTATGTCAATTAAAACAAATCCAAAACAGGAAACTGTGGTTGTGTATCTCAATTACTTGTCTTTCCCAGAGAGTCTCTATACAATGGCTTAGAATCTCAAGAGCTCAAAAGGGATTAACTCCTCCAAATTAGTCCTACTTTATAAAATTAATTTAAAGGAAAATATTTTCAGTAAACTTAGTCTCTGCGGGTGAGTGTGTGTGTGTGTGTGTGTGTGTGTGTGTGTGTGTGTTCCATCACATAGATAGAACTGGTTAACTATTCTGGTTAATGTTAAGTACAGTTTAACTGTTCTCTATTCTTTGTTTCCCTAAATATCTACTTACAAAACCTGGAAACAAAACCTCATGGGCTTTTTCTAATTATATCAGAAACACAACAGTGTCCCAGCTAACCAATTTTTCACAGGCGATATCTACCAACTAACACGAGAGATCAAAAATGCTTTTCAAAATTAAGATAAATATATTTAATATTTAAAGAGAATTAATCTACAAGGAACAAGCTAATTCTGATTTACTTATTACCAGTCTCTACAATACCATTAGATAGCAATATTTTATAGGGTCATTACAGAAAGAAAATGTCATTTCTTAAAAATATTTTATTAATACTTTTTCAACTACTCTAAATACGGTTCATTACAGGTGTATTTAACGAATAACAGAATGACAGGCTGCAGGACATGCCCACCACAGTAATTATAGAGAAAAGCATAATTCCTAGGATGGGTTTGACATTTTGGAGTAACATTAATTTTGCTTCTTAGTAATGTGTGCTACTCTTAAAATAATAAGGCATACATTTTACAAGTTAAGAAGCTTTATAAATTTACAATGAAGAATATAAACAATGCTTTCATGAAACAAGCATAAGAAATGAGTATACAAAAACTAAAGAAGGACACATAATGAGTTACAACCTGTGGAAAAATACTAAACAACTCAAGAAAAATTTAGTTGCTTGGTTGTCATATACTAAACAGCTTTACTTTGTGGGCGGTTTATTTGTCTTTACTATGTCAAAAAGATGAGTTAAGAGTATTATTGGACTCACATTTTTTTCTTTTCCTAAAAGAAATTAATTACCTGCTTACAAAATGCTAACTCAAAATCAAAGTACATTGTCAACTTTTCTAAAACACTGATAGCAAAAGTATTAAATGTAAATTCTACTCAATAATTATTTCAAAATTGAAACGTAAGATAGATATCCAAGTACAAAGAACATGATTCAAATGCAAAACATTCTTTAAAAAAAGGGAGGAAAGTTTGTTTTAAAAATATCAATAGATGTCTGAAATGTGAGTCAGACACTACACCAAATATGAAACTGACACTTTGCCTTCTGTTTCATTTACTAGAAGTCACAGAAATGATTCCATATATAAACTACCAACATGACATGGATATTTTCAGAAGCAGCCAATGAAAAACCATTATTATCATTTCAGGTTTTACTGATCTCAGTATCAAATAAAGATGTATTTTTAAGTAGTCACATTTTTCCAGTTTTGAAAAGTTCAACCATGATGCAGGAAACTCAAATACAAGACTCCGTCTCAAAACAAAAAATAAGAAAAGAGCTGGGGACACAGATCAGTAAGACATCCTTGAGTTCAATTCCCAGTGTCAAGGAAAAAGTAGAAAATGAGTCATTCTACTTTTAAATTATTTCTTTTTTTTCTTTCTTTTTTTTTTAATATCGGGGATTAAACTCAGGTCCTTGCGTATGCGAAGCAGTAGCCAGAACCACTGAGCTAAATCCCAGGCACTTTTAAATTATTTCAAAGGATGGTTTACTAATATAATAAAAATTATCAGTGAATATATTACCAGTCAATAAAATATTGACACACACTGGAATCCCAGCACTACAAGGCTTGGGAAGACTTTCTCAACCTAAGGTGACCCTAACACAGCAGGAGTAAGGCAAGGGCCCTGGTGGCTCAAGGCTGAGAACTTGGCACCCACGTATGCATGCTGGTGGCGCCTCCCACTGGCTTCCCAGGGCAGCTCCTCGCAGCCTCACCTACTCTCCTGCAAGCCTCCCAGCACTGTGCACTCCCTGCCAACCCAGCCTTACTACGGCAGCTGTGCGGCAAGGCATGCTCAATTACTGGGTGCCACAGGCAAAGATCGCTGGCCTATGTTCCAGGAGCAAGGCATGGCGGACTTGCTGCACCTTTGGCAGGACTGTGGTTACTTAGCAACCTACACAAACAAAAACAGCAGCTTTGCCAGTTTGAGAATTTACCTACACGGATTGGTGTTGCAGGACCTCAGGAGTTAAGACAGTGATACACACACAGGGCAAAGAAGAAACTGAAAACCTTTTGAAGAAAGAATGAAGCACGAGCCAGGGCAATCCAGGGAAGGTGAAGTCTTTGCTACCCATATTTTGAGGAGGAAACATGGAAGGCCACTGGCCCACCGCTCCTGAGTGCCTGGTTGCATACAACTCAGATGAAATGGCGTATGACAAAGAAGAAGGTTCACCTTATGAGATCATTACAATTCTACACTCCAGCCAGTGGAAATATCCTCACCCTCAGGGGAGATTTTAAGATGACAGAGTATTCTGGCCTACACCAGGGCTATCATGGACAGTGGCAAAGATGATGACACTGGGAAAGATGAGCTGATTCTGGGAAGCAAATGTTGGCATATTATATGAAACAGTAAGGTGAAACCAAATATGGTCAGAACTACATATGAAAAACATGTAGTGGCATCTGAGGTAGACCGCTGTCAGGTTCTAGGAGAGAACTGCAACCGAGTACTGAAGAGGTACACAAAGAGAGTTACATTATGTGACTAGTGATGTGACAGCTGTCCCAATCTCCATGTCTCCAGAAGATGATTCCATGTAGGAACTTCAACTGATTCTTGACCTTCCAATGAAAGTATTGAGACAGGATGGGAAATACTTTACACAGGACAATTGGGTCAATTTCCCAGACTACCTGTAATTCTAGGAAGAACTTGGCTGCCTGCATTATCCTGTGGAACTCTCAAAGGAGATCATCTGTGTCCATTCATACTTGGAATTGCAGGTATTTTACACCATCTGGAAGAAAGCGAACTTGTGGGAGGGATATTTCCTAATCATGTGTGCTGCAAACAGCTTCATGACCTCCTGCCATGTGTGACGTCAAAACGAGTTGGGCAACTGGATGCAAACTCCAAACAAAAAGTTTTCTCTTTTTTCACTATTTTTAATTTAGAAAAATAAATGATGAGCTGGGGTGTTTTTTGAAGTCATGTGAAGGACAATTAGCACAGCAAAGATTGCAAAATGCACTGACTCTCTAGAATGTGATTTTTGTTACATTTTATTTCTGCATGGGTTTGTTTTGTTTTGTTTTTGGTAGACCTTAAATTTGGATCTTTGGAGGAATGAACATCATTATTTTGTTCCAGAAGAAAGTTTCTGATGATTTTCTTTTCCAAAAAATGGACTTAAATATTAAAATGTTTCAAAGTAAGTTAGGATAGCAAATGAACAGCAATGCATCAATTAAAATTATAAGAGGAAAAAAAAAGTCTTGGGTCCAATAACCAATACTGAAAAAAAATTCGAAATAATTTTAACATCCTCTAATAAATTCTTCACATACATAATGCTGAAATTGCTTTATTGATTCACCATTTAAAATACCAGCTGTCTATTTTACTGTAAATTTAAGACTAAGTGTATTGATTCTATGTGTGTGATAATTAAAGGTTTTCTGCATGACAATTTACTAGTGACAAAAGGAATTAAAAAACCCTTTCATTAACAGAAATAAATCACAAAATTATTTACACTGACAGCAGTCATTCTTTATTAAAACATGAGGAACACATAAACTTTTTTTTCTTGATTCACATGTAATAAATATTACCTTATATTTAAAATGGAATTCAGATGCAAAAATTATAAGGCTGCTTAAAAGGAAAATAATAAAATTGTGAAAGGAGAATAATATAAAAACCTCTCAAAAACTATGAAATTAAATTCATAAGGAGAATAAAATAAACTATAATTTCTAATCTTTTCAAAAATGTAGGCTCAAATAAAACACTACAGATTTAGCTGCTTGTACTTAATTTTAGACCATTCCTTCCTTTTTTTTTTTTTTTTTTTTTTTTTTTTTTTTAAAAAAAAATTTTGTTTTTTTTTTTTTGGCCCTTTCTTTCTTTTTTTTTTTTTTTTTTTTTTTTTTTGGTACCGGGGATTGAACATGGGACCTTGCACTTGCGAGGCAGGAGGCAGAACCACTGAGCTAAATCCCTGGCCCTCCTTGATTTTTAAAATAACCTTAGTTATCTCATTTTTTGGGTCTGAAAGTAGAAATCTCTTATACGTATTCCTACAAAATCATTTTATTATGTGTGATAGTATAAGAATTCTTCCATGATGAAAGATAAAAGTATAAAACTCTTGCTAGTGGTGGTGCTGCTGGTGGGGAAGAGGGGCAGAAGGCAAAACAAAACAAAACAAAATCCCACTGGTTATGCTATCTTTTTTTGGTTCATTTTTTCCTCTGTAAAATTGCACATATTGTGACATGAATATATTCCCATTTCTATTACCCAAAAGGCATGCAGAGTAATAAAAGAGCCACAATATATATATATATATATGCCACTGAAATATTTTTTGGTCAGGACATAACTGCGTTGGGAGGTGGTTATTAACTATAACTACCCACCTTTTTTGCACAGCATTAGGACAGATGAATAGGCATTACTGACACAATGACATGGTTAGCATTTGGAAATGCACTGCAAAGCAGCTAAGTGGAAAATTCTATCAATTCTGGAAGATTTCACAGCCAAACAATGCAAAACTAGGGCCAGAACACAGCCTGCCAAATGCATACCATTAAAAATATAACTGGGTTTATTACATATGGTAATTCAAGCCATCTTTTCCTTCTTCAAAATACATAAATTAGTTAAATGGAATACTTGTATTTTCCCAGTTGAAGAAAGAACAATTTTAACCTCTAATTCATATTTCCTCTAAGGAAGTTAACTGTATTTTCAACAGTGAGTTTTAACCTAGATTTCAGTATTATAGATGGCTAGCTAGTAAAGGATATTTGACATAATAAAATGTCACTTAAAAATAAGTGCTTTCAAAAAAAAAATCAACAAAAGGCTGGGGCAGTGTTGCAAGCCTGTAAGTCTAGCTACTCTGGAAGCTGAGTCAGGAGGATACCAAGATCAAGCCGAGCCTAAGCAACATAGTGAGATTTTTGTCTTAAAAATAATACAAAAGGCTAGATATCTAGTCTAGTATGCTCAGAGCTCTGGTTCAATTCCCAATACTGGGGAAAAAGTAAAAGCGCAAAAGGATTTTCTAGGAAAAAAACCACAAATTTAAAAAAATGTTAAAAGATCTATATCTAATTAGAGTGTAACAATCCACAGTGCCTTCTTTGGATAGAATAGACAGAGGAAATTGTATCCAGTCAATGTAGAGGAAAGCTGGTGGCTTAGAATTAAAAGCATACTAGCAAGGGACTCCAGACAGGTATACAGCTTACAAATGGATACTTACGGTCCAGCAAACCAACCAACATGAATGATGAGACAAATGTCCAGAAAGATTCTAATATTTATCAAGCACTTGGTGGGTAATAGGTTTAGGAACGAACATTTATGTATTCTCTCAAGTAACCTTCCTTACTACCTGTGAAGTATTATAATCGCCTCTACTTTATTATGAAGAAAAAGTAAAAAAAATAAAATAAAAAAGGAAAGAAAAGAAAGAGTCCATAAGGTTTTGCTACTCTCTACATCGCTACAAGTAGCACAAGTTTTTAGCCACATGAAATGGGCCACAGTGTGGCACCAAAGTCAGCTTTAGCTGCTATAAAATAGTCTCTAGTAAATGTGCTACAAGGGAAGAAACAATCTGCTGCATGAGTAACAATATCACATAACCCTAAACAGTGATGCTTTTATCATTTGTGGTTCATTTTATTTACTTTACTCACAGGCTCCAAAATTGTTTTTAAGGTAACAGATCGTATACAAAATTCAGAAAATACAGAAAAATAGGCTACTTATTACTGGACTTTCACAGTAAAATGGTTTAAACAGCTGAATTAAAAATGTATTTATTATGGAGCAGAAAACAGTAAATAAAGAGGTAAAAACAGAAAGTAACTTTACCTCCAAAAATTTTATGTTTAAGGAGTCTTCCCCCTGTTGGAGATTGTTCAAATGAAAACTTACCACGATTTTGGCCAAAACACCGTCATCACTTGCGTCTAAGGTAACCACAGCTTTGTCAGTCTCAATTTCACACAATGCATCTCCAGCACTCACAGCTTCCCCTACAAAAAAAGACTGGGTTTGTTTCTGTTTTTAATATATAAATGTGCTTGTTAATATGAGTGTGTGTAAAGCATGAATAAACAACAAAATACACTACATTTATCTCTGAATTGTGAATTTACAAGTAGTTCGCACTGCATGTGTGCGTTCGATAAAATATTCTACATCTATTTCTGGACTGAGGAATTACAAGTAGTTCTCACTGCAAGTGTGTGTTTCATTATAAAAAGGGTTACAAAGATTTTGGAGCAAATATTAAGAACGAAATCACACTTAAGAGACAATAGCAAGAAATTAACATCCTCTTTGGAAAAAAATCAACTTCAGACCCCATAGCTCCTTTTTAATACAATTTGAATATCCTTCTGTCAAGATTAATTTATATTAATTAGTAGACTATTTTGATTGACATTTTAGGGCAAGTTCAGAAACCCGAAATCTGTCAGAACCATACAGCATACATAAATATAGCGTAAAAAGAGATACTCAAACACACAGTGAAGTCAAGTAAGAACCACTTTTGTGATGGAAAGGACAGAAATTCAAAAATCTGAGCAGAACCTGACATTACAGACATGCTGCTTTCTGGATGTAGAAGCAGGTTTTTGGTGGGGAGAAGAGAAGAAATACAAAGGTTTCCTCTGGTAAGTAAATGAAACTAAAAGTTGCCCAAAAGACTGAGTATTTAAACCAGACTCATCACTTGAAGCCAGGACCAAGTCAGGGTTCTTCTCATAATCTGAGGCTGATGAAATGAGCAATCAAATTGTGCTGACAGGTTTGGCTTTAATCAGAGACTGTGGGTATAGGAAGATGGGGGAGAAAACCACTGCCTCTATATCAAACAGTGTGTCAAGCCACCCTTTGGGTTCAGAACCACATCTGACAATATCCCCAATATCAATAGCAAAATCTGAGGAGGGGGACAGAGAGAGAGGGTGGAGAGGAGACTGGTGGGAGGGGAGACGCTGAAACAAAAACCTTCCACTCAAACGAAAGATGCAAAACAAAGTTCTGACACAAGAGGAAATCTAATACTAAAGCAAAGTCACAAAATAACAAGAATGGAAATAATTTTAGAAGCAATTCATTTAGAGCAATCTGCCCAGAATAACTATCTTGAGGATGTTACAAAGTAAAAAAAAGGAAAGTTAAAGTGCTGTCACAAGAACAAGAAATCAAAAAATGATGAGGAACAGATATGCAAAATATTAGCAAGAAGAAAACGAATTCAAAATCTTAGAAATAAAAAATTAAATCACTGCAATAAAAGGAATCAATGGTATACAGTGTAGATGGAACACAGTGAAAGAGTGATACTGAAAGCACCACGGAACTACTCAGAACGTAATACAAGCAGACAAAAAGATTAAAAAAATAAAAATAAAAAGAGCAGCTAAGTGACCGAGACAGAGGCTACAATGCTTGTCTGATGGGGTTCCAAGGGAAGAGAGAGGAGGGACTGGTAGAAAATCAATACATGAAGAGATGGTTGCTGATTTTCTCAGACTATCTTTATAATGAAAGTGTTCTGAAGTTGTATGATCAGGAGGGGGTACAAGGAGCCTTGCAGAAAGTGAGGAGTTCTCTCAATCTTGATCTAGATGGTGGTAAAAGGAACATATGCACATGTAAAAATTAACTCAGGTCTCATCTTGTCCAAGTTACACCCAGACAAAAAACACAACAGGACAGAGAGTATTAGACTGTATAAACATGGATCCACATTAGATACACTGTAGGTAAATCACATAGTATCAACAACAATAAAAACATAATTTGAAGTTATCAGAGGAAGTAAAACAGATTACCTCAGTGGAATGACAGACTGAGAGCACACTTCTCAGCAGCTGCAACAGAGGTCAGAAGACAATGAAATAATATCTTTAAAAAGTTGAGAAAAGTTAACTGTCTAGAATTGTATATGCAGCCATATAAGAGAACGAAATAATTCTTTAGACATATAAAGGCTATGAAAGGGCCAGGGATTTAGCTCAGTGGTTCTGGCATCTGCCTCACAAGCACAAGGATTCGAGTTGGATCCCCAGTAAAGAGAAAGAGAGAGAGAGAGAGAGAGAGAGAGAGAGAGAGAGAGAGAGAGAGAGAGAGAGAGAGAGAGAGAGAGAGAGAGAGAGAGAGAGAGAGAAGAAAAAAAAAAAAAGCAAGAAAAGAAAGAAAGAAAGAAAGAAAGAAAGAAAGAAAGAAAGAAAGAAAGAAAGAAAGAGAAAGAGAAAGAAAGAAGGGCAGACAGACAGGCTATGAAAATTTACCACTACTGGAGATCACTTGAGTGAGAGCTTTCTTACAAGATGCAGTTGATCAGTAAGAAAAGTGGACACACAGAAAAGGGAAGTTGTTAATGTGTGAATTACTAACTATTCAGATGGTAATGTATGAAGGATTAAAACAGTGAGAGTCAAACACTTAAGAAACAGTAACACAGATAAGGGAATGTTCATGTGATAATTAACTATGCTAAGAACTTTGATATAGTTGGGAGAAAAACATATTGAATAACTCTAGACCTTACTTAACAAAATTTAAAAACAGAAATAAAAAAAGAACTACAACCTACAGCACAGGAAAAATGGAAAATAATTGTATAACAGAAAGCAGGCGCACACACACACACACACACACACACACACACACACAAATCAAGAGAATAAAAATAGAAGTGAACAAGAACAACAGAAATAAATCCAAATGTATGAGGACTCACAATAATATAAATGGATTAAAATCAGTGATTATCAGAATGAATACAAAAATAAAATATGAGACATAGCAATATACTCCCTCAAACAGCCCCCAAAATAGCTGAAATAGCAATATTAACAGATCAACACAGTAAGAGCATGAAGGAAAATCTACAACACTAAATTAATAAATATGCTCTGGAAGGCTTCTTAGAATTAAATGACCTCTTATATGAGTCTGAAAAGATGAGAAGATAAATAAAAAGAGCAACAATCCAGGCATAGAGCAGCACACACAGAGCCCTGGAAGCAAAGAAAAGGACACTTGGGCAGCTGGCAAAGAGCACATGAGAGAGGGGAGATTAGGCTGCGAGATACACAGAAGCTAGGCAGCCTACCAGCTAAATATTTCTTAAAAGCCGGAAAATAAATTCTCACCATTACAGAATAAAATCATGTTTTATCTTTTGTGCTCACCTGTATTTAAATTCCAACCACTCAACTTCAAGAATCATCTGCAAATTCTACCTCAGCCCTAACTTTCTCTGAGTAACTCCACTGACATGTTTTTTACCTATGCCTAAATTCCTTACACCTAATTTGAAAAGTTAACACAAATTGCGTTATAATATTTTATGCTGCTACCACTAATTACTTTTTAAAAATTGGATTATTCTCTATTTACTAGACTCTGAGTTCTTTCAGCAGAGCAAAAGACATACTATAAGTATTTTATTTTTTCCTCATTGAGTTTATTGGTACATTTTAGGTGTACAGTACAGTTACATTCATCACTGGGCTCTTGTACTTTTACATGACAGGTCTTGGTTCTCATTTTTTCCCCTTGTCCCTGCCCTCCCTTTACCCCCTCCTCCCTTCCCCATTTACAAACATTTTATTTCCATTTTTCATTTTCTCCTATTTTTTTCTTTCCCTTATTATCTTTCCCCTACCCTTCCCACTTTCCCTAAACCATTAGCCCTTTTCTTCCTATTTCACAGTGTCAATATACTGTATTCTAAATTCCACCTGTTCCTCAGGTCTCAAGCCAATGCCTCAATATTTTATGATGTTTTGATTCTTTTCTATTGTTTTTGTTCTCACTCTTAATTTGTAGCATGCCTCTAATATTTAAAAAGATAACTTTCCTTTGTAAAACTGTCCCTATATCTAGTCACGTAACATAGACACGTTACCTACATGAGAAGCCTGGGGTAAGGGAGCAGGGCACAGAGGAAAATCTACTTATTCTTCTCTGGTGAGCTTTACCTATGAACCATAGCAAAGTTTAAAACACAGCATTATTATATAAAGGAAGCATCAGCATCAATATTTTGAATGGACAGCTGTACAAGAAGGTATCGTGGATCTAAATGTGCTAGGTTAACATTTCCCATAGACTTTGAGATAACACTTTATATCTTTAGGTAAAACCATTAAAAATCAAGACACATTCTAGCTTCCTGTTCCAGTCTGCCACGTCAAACAGATCACTCAGCAAGTACTAATGTATAAAGCACTACAGTAAGCCCTGGGTTCAAAAGCAATGATAAGCAAAGAGTCTGTCCACTAGGAATATATAGTATGGTGAGAAGGACTGAGCAGCCAAGACACAGGCACATGCACAGCTCGAGGGACACATGGCTTCTCAGCTGTCCTGTTGATAGCTGGCTGGCTGCAGAAGATGGCAGCCATGGGGCATTTCTGTGCCACTTCCTGTGACATGTCGTCCATGTCAGTGGCAGAGGTGGAGCGGGCCCAGAACAAGAGTGCGGGCCCCAGGAGAGGCCAGAGCAGAGGCCCGCCCGGGGGCTGCTCCCCAGCACCAATGCCAGCATCGTGTCCCATTCCTTCGTCCCGGTGGGCAGCTGCCAGAGCCGAGGATGAGCATGTAGGGAGGGTTGCCTCTCTTTGTAAAGCTGAGGTATAAAGTAGAGTCTTGGTCAAACAAACTATGGTAATGCTTATTTTATTAACTAAACACATCCTATAGCTTTCAGAAAATAATTGTACTCAACCAAAAATTAAGAGTAATCTTTTTTTTCAAAGGTATGTGTGTGGTGGTAGTTTTGGAGGTGGGCTGTTATTGTCTATAGGCCAAGTAAATAAGATCTACATGAACGTAAAAGAGGAAAACTTACTGCTATGTCGAATCACCACGACATCCATGATTAGAGGTAAAATTCAATGGCTTGTTCACCATGCATGAGCTGCCTCTGTATGAATGATATCGCATATAAGACAGACACTATAGCAGAAATGAGAAGACAGATCTGCTTCAAGTGGTTCCTCATCAGATG